GGTGGTAGATGAAATGTGTCATGTTGGTAAAAAGTTGTAACACTTCAGAAGCATTAATGAGGACAGTCTCCTTCAGAAAGTACTCCAGGGTTGTATTTGTAAAGCCTGTATTGAATGCTAAAGGTACTCTGTGGGTAAGATTTTCAAATTGTCTGAGGATTGGGATTCCCAGAATAGCAACTGAAATTTGATTAATAGGTTTGAACTGAGCTAGTAAATAGTTCCAAATACTTTGAAATGGTTGACTTTAGTTAATATGGCTATTAAGAGAGAAAGCATCTGAGAATGATACATGCTTTTCATGAAGCACTTTAATGAACAATTTGGTCTTAAGTGTTTTCCCATCTTCTGGGAAGCTACTATAAAAATGTGTGCCCGTGAAAGTTTTATTTGGCATTAGGATAAACGTATATATTTTTGGTAATGTGTTGGATGAAGGAAACATGTAAGTGGAAGAGTGTTGTTGGATGTAATTTGTACTGAAGGATGGTTCTTTTCTGTAAGTCACACTCTTGGTTGTCAGTAACTAAAAAGACGGGAGGAATTTTGCATGTGAAGCAAATGTACTTCCTGCTTGGAAGGCTTCAGTTTATTTGACTGGAATTTAGGAAAGGTTATTTGTCGTGCAGTTAGTTCAGGGATGGAGGGATAGAACAGTTAGTAATATGCCGTTGTTCCAGTCGAACATGTTTTGATTTTAGTTATATCTACAGAAATTAGGTAGGCCTGTTCCTTTTCATTTCAAACTTAGGGTCCATCAAAAATTCTTTTATTTTAAACAATATCTAGGGCTGCCAAATTATAAGCCAGCCCAGGCAGAGTACCACAAACTTCATGCTCTTGTCTGTTAGGGACTATCGAGGAAGAGAACTCCCTGCAGACCTGGGACAGGGGCACTCGGTCTTTGTAGTGCTTTTTGTTCAAGTACAAGTAGGTTTTCATCTCCGTAGCAGGCCCTAGTGGGAAACTTCAGTTCCAGTTTCTTGCTAATGAACACTCAACTGCTACTGCTGAAAGTAACCATTATTGTCCTCTGTTCAGAGGACTTACTGACCTT